CTTCAGTTTGTATTTTCCACTTGGAAGGACCTTTTTCTGGTTAGCGTTTTTTTAGCGAGTTAGTTTTCTACGGGATGGGGACGCTAACCCCATGCCCAACCCTTCTACCTTATCCGGGCTTGGGACCGGCAGTAGCCCCCAGAGGGGACTCCAGGCGGAGTTTGGAAGGACCTTAAATGTCATTAATTCGTTTCCTCTTTTCATACTCTTTTTTGACGTTTTTTGTGCTGTATATATATCCATAAGTTGTATGCTTGTTAGTTCGTGCTTCTAATTGATTGTGGAACATAGATTTCCCTCTGTTGAATCTACTGTTACCCCCACTAGTTATCAGGACTGAAGCGCAATGGAATCGTTTACATTATCCCGTTGTTGTGTTGTTTACTTTCGTTTCATTCGCTGGTTTTTAAGTGATATCTTAATCTCTTCAAACGTAGCTGTAGTTCAGAATAATCCCTTGAGGTAATAACTGCATTAATTATTTGGATTTTTTCAATATGCATTTTTTTATCTTCTGTATATAGTATGCTCTTAAATCTATTTGATAAGTTGTTCAAAATAGATTTCTTAATTTTCAATGTAAACAGACACTCCACTTTTCAATTGTTATAATGTATAAATATAATCAGTCTAATGATAATTCATTCGAGAAGTCTACATTACCCTACTGATTCAGATTAATTCATCTCTCTGAGTATTAACAGTAAAAAAAAGTCTTTATCCTTACGATTATTAGCAGTAAAAATAGTAATAATACATTGTAAATACTGTAATAGCATGTTGGTTTGTTAGAGATAGTTGGTTGGAAACTCTGTTTGACCTTGGTCTCGTACCAAGGTTTACTGTGCAATCTTGAAGAGACTGATACTTTCCTAGGAATTAGAACTTATGTTCAGCTTAAGATGTTATCATCACTGAATTATTCGGGTCACGAATAACTTCCTGTAGAATTGAGATGGTTACAACTATTTGATGAATAACCAATATTATCTTGGTTTAGTTCATAATCAGACATCTTTATTCATTTCTTGTAGACAGAATTCTTGTACTACACATTGGTATGTAACAGGTTTCCAATCAATTGATTGTTAATTGACTTAATTCCTGAATATTTCTTTCTATTTTTTACTTCGTAAACTATTTCAGTGATAACGTATATGCTGATCAATGATCAATATTTATATGTGTATAAATGATAATATACATTTATTAAGTACCATCAATGTACGTACTTTGATATTTTGTTTAAATTTACTCATTATTTTCTAATTTAATCAAAACCGCTGATATTGAAATGTAAAACGTTTTGAGCACACATTGTGTCACCACTGTGTTACTGATTGATTGCACAATTAACAGAAATGATTATTTTGAAGAGTTTCAGCTTCATTTAATGCTGGTTGCATTGTGACAAGGTTTTCCCCACTGTCAAATTAATCAGCTATACTAATATTTTTTATTCTGTAAAACATTCACAGTTACTAATTTCTTATAAAGAAAATTGTATGATTAGTATTCGATTATTTTTATTTATTTTATTTATTTGAATACATAAATATTGGTACAATGGGGCATCGAATAGATATGCGCTACAAAAGTCACTTGATTTGTGTGTGGGTTGTGATACTGACCGGATGTCCAAACTGAAACAGATGGTTTTCTTAGGGAGTCACATTCGAAGTCTTTGACCTAAAGATCTAATCCATGATGCAATAGAGCAACGTCAGGAGATGCACTTTCATGGTAGCAAGTGACCAACAATAAGTTCAAACATCATTCGTCCCTTCAAGATACTGGATCCCATGTATACCATTGGTTTAGATTGAGGGTTTTCCAACTCACCAAGTTGAACTCTCCATATCCACCAACCCGGTTAAATCGCTGGACATTCGCTTTTAGTCATTTCAAACTCATAAACAACAGCCGTGGTTTGAGAAGGCAGTGAGTAGGACTTCCCTGACAGTGGTTTTATACGCGTGGTCATGTGAGAGCATTTGAAGAGGGAGAGAGGACTCTCCTTACCCTTGGCCGTACTAACTGAAGTTATAAACACCTCAGTCAGTCATTGATTCAACAGTTGTTTGTGTGTGTGTGTGTGCTAATTTATTTTTTTTCTCTACCACGATTTTCAACTGAAATTTAAATTCTGTTGTTTCTCTGTAAAATTTATTAGAATAATTCAAAGTACAATTTTCTCTCACAAAGGGATGTTGTTTACGAAATTGTGAGAACGAAAACCGAATGTCCGGCGGGAGCTTTAACCGGGTTGGTGGACACGGAGTTGGGAAACCCTGATTCCAAACCAACGGTGTACATGGGTTCCAGTATCCTGAGGGAACAAATGGCATATGAACCAATCGTTGGTGACGGGCTACCATGGAAACGCATCTCATTACGATGCTCCACTGTCTTGTGGATTAGACTTTTGAGTCGAAGGCTCTGGGTGCAGCCCCCTATGGAAACCACGTGCTTCGGCTTGGGCACCCGGGTAGTATCATAGCCCCCACACAATTAAAATGAAATGACAATGATTATTGGATATACTGCTCTCACTCCTGTTACACTTCAAACTTTATGACTGAAATTTCTTTATTTGATTGATCTTCGATTAGGAACTAATATAATGATTGTCTAATCCTTTATTACTGATCGAATATCACCAACATAACTGGTTAATACGAGTTTGAATCCTACAAGGAGCATATGTTTTCTTTAAATTTCACGTACTCCTTAGTAATGAATACTAACTAGCACATAACTTAAATCAAGATGAGTTGAGAACTTGATCAATAGAATTCTATTTTTTTAATCATGAATTGGCCATTACTACTCAGTGTTGAGTCAATCATTTATGATTATTTTAACTGACCTTGAGAGTCTTCACCAAATAACTAGAACCAAATGAGGGTTATAAACCAGTGTGATGAATTAGATTTATGATTTACAGTTGATGGTTAATGTTAGAAATTACATTTAACGTTTCCATCAGGAACTGACATCAGTTGAAATACCAAAACGTTATTTAACCAAATGGATAAATGAATTTCTCGCTCAAATCCACAACCTATTATCTTTTATCTGATTAGTTCGTCTATAAATTATAATCTCGTCGAAATCTCTACACTATTGTGTGTGTGTGTGTTTTTCTTCTCACTTGTATTGCACCGATTTGTTGACATTGAACACTTCTATACATATTGCTCTAATAATTTGATTGGTTAGAAAATTTTACATGAAGAATCATTTTGAAATGTAAGTACAAATGTCTTATTTATATTTATCTATTATCTATTTTCACAGATTGAAATCATGAGTCAGTTGAAGCTAGACCACCATTGAAAACCTGGAATCACTGGACGGCCATTTCGTCCTAGTATGGGACTCTCATAAGCAGTGCGCTTCAACTGACTCATGATTTCAATCTGTGAAATTTCTAAAATCTCCACAAATCCCTTCTGATTATTAGATTAATTGTTTATTTAGTCATGGTTTATTTTGCTTTTCTTTTTTCTTAAAATAAATGATTATTACAGTTCTAAGAAAACAACAAATCATTCTAATAACACTACTACTACTACTGTTACACTTCATCGTACATCATCAGCAATTCCGAAAAAATCAACTGAACGTAATAGACAAAAAGGTGTTAGACGATTAACTGTTGGTGTTGCCAATTCTTTACCTCATTCATCATCATCAACTTTAGATTATTATTGCATTTCACCACCACCATCATCATCACAACTTTCACATACAAAAAATAAAGAGGACACATTATTAACACAATTAAATAATGTTAAAAATATTTCTAACTTATCATCATCATCACCACCGCCACCACCATCATCATCGTCATTATCAACTTCTCCTCCTTCTACTACACGATGTGATTTAATGATTGTCCGACGACCTGTCATTCCTGTGACAACTTCGCATTCAACTACAACTATTTCATAGGAAGAAATGAGTAAATGATGTTATTCTCCTCGAAAATTGATTGATTGATTGACTTCCTTGCAATCGTTATTTGTTACTGTGTATGTGTGTGTGTGCCTTGTCATCTTGTCTTTTCGTTCTGCTTTTTTTTCCTGAATGTTTATTTAAGAATCACATTCAGCTTGATTTTGTATTTTTTTTGTAATACGTTTAAGCCAAATATTATTATTATTATCATCAGTTAACCCCCCTTTAATACATCGTTCTACATACACTTCTCTTCTTCCCCCATCCATTGAAAGGTGTTCAAATAGAAGTAAGAGAAGAAAAAAAAAGAAGAACAATACCCGGTTGTGTGTTTACGATGATGTACATCTTGGTACTTTTATCTGTGTATAAAGTTTTTGTTCACTCCATTTCATTATCTTGTGTATTCAACATTCATTTGTATGTTTACTAATACACAATTGTATTATTGTTGCTTTGAGTAAAATCAATTTTATCTCTCTCTCTCCCTCCCCCTCTATTAACATTATTGTTGTTAGGGGGGAGGAGGAGAAGGGGGAATAAGATTATCTTCACAATGATTTATTATTATTCAACTAATAAAGTATAAATGAGTTTTCTTTTTTTTGTTCGGCTTCATCCATAAATTGACATTTTGGATCATTCAAGTCATTTTAGAAAAAAAAAAGAAGATAAAACTATACTGATTCATTAAAAAAGTTGTTTTTGTTTGATAATTTTTTTTCTTCTTCTTCTTCTTCTTTCGTTTTCATTCAATACGCACAAATATGTAATTAATTGAAGAAATTTCTCCTGTGAACTTGAATTCAGATTGACTTTGATTCCCTGCCTCAATTAACGATTGTTACTGTTGTGGTTGTTCTTGTTCTTGGTGTTGTTGTCTACCTCGAATTATTTTCAATTCTCCTATTATTACTATTATCAGTTTGTAAAAATGAAAACATAAACTTATTCATGGGTAAAAATTTCTCTTCAGTATTCATATGTTTTATTTGTATGTATGAAAAGATTATTGTGCTGAAAACTGACAGTATGATAAAAAAAAAATGGATGCCATTGTACTTGATTCTCTGAGTCATATTTCCAATTGCTGGTCTTGCAGATCCTATTATAAGCAAAGATGGATGGAATCCAGGATGCGCGTTTCATCCTATTTGGGACTAGTCAGCCGGATGTACCTGCATCTCAGATTTGTTGATGTTCACTCTGGGAATCGAACCTAGTACCGTTCGCTTCAAACACCATCGTGTCACCAACTTAGCTACTGAGTCCTGAATTTCACTACTAACCACTATCCGTCTTTGCTTATAATGCTTGTGAATTAAGGCAATATCGAGGCAATACACACAGTATGCACATATGGCAATAAGAGACTGCTCAATTGCAGTCCTGAATATCAATGGATCTCAACCAGATATCATGAACCTACCAGAATAGTTAACGACTCAATGAACTAATGTCGTATGTTTCTGTGTTGATCTTTAGTTTTCTCCTAGACTTTGTATTTACTTGTTTATTTAAACAAAAATGTCGGTACGAAGAAGTAACAAAACATATATTTACATCACGATTGACGAAACGTGACTGTGAAGAGATAACCGAACGTGAGTATGATAAGTTCAGTTGAAATTAATGAATGAGAATAAAAAAGAGTGAGGAGGTAGTTTAGTCAGGGAAAATACAACTAGAGAGGATTCTTGAAGTTAAAGAAGTTCCTCTCACTCGTATGAAAGGTAATAGCAAGTTATAGCAGGATCGTCACTGACTTCTGTTTTGAGCTATTACCGATGACGTCTCTAGACACGGTGTTGCACCGTCTCTAGGACTCCAACCAGGGAGCTGTGTAGGACTAATGTATATTACCAAATCTCCACAACACTAACATGGTGTTGCGACTGGATGTCAGGGTCAACAATGATCGAACACAGAACGTCGCTTAACATCGTCGTATAGGAGAGGATAGGTTTCGTAAGCATAGAGAGGGACTGCCCTGACTGGTGGATTATGGATCTGACCTTTTACGACCAGATGGCTCAGATTAGCATATGCCACTGATTTTCATCATACATGAATCGATTTCATCACTCACACCGGCACTTACGCAACTATCCAAATGCATGGACTTCTCGACCACTTCTACCCGCTCACTACCCAGAGTGAGCACAGGTTCCTACCAGTCTCGTAAAAGTACTTTAACCTAAAAGGGGCACACCCTTTTTCGACATAATCCCAGTAAACAAACCTGTTCGGTGACTTGAAGCCAGCTCTGACATCAAGAAACAATGATTGCTGAATTGCACACAAGTATAGCAGTGTTCTGACATTTGGTGAAGATACTAAAAATATATATTCTCGAAAACCTGCCTGCTCCTCTCGAGTCGATCTTCTTCGAATTTTTTAACAATCTGCGAAATATAACGTAACCCATTAATTTTTTTGTAAAAAAAAACTTATCCCATAATAGTTGTTACATAGGTGACATAGACCCTTTTAAAATATAGTAATGGCCATCACCTCATCCCAGTATTTGGGGACATTCTGTAATTGGTAAACGTTTGCAAGCATTTCAGTTCCGTTATCCCTAAAAAGTTTTTTTGCTTGGTCATCACGGCCTAGGAATTTATGTAGTCCTAGGAGTTCGGGTTCCTTGCACCATATCCAAAGCAGGCGGTTTTCTTAGTAAGCCACTCTCCAAGCCTTTGGTTTATCCCAACAATCGAGAATACGTACGTCATACGTTATTTGTCACCTCAGGATGCTCAACTCTATGTGCACCATAGGTTCGATTCTCTCAGGTAGGTCCTCCGTACCCTGATTTAGATGTTAAGTTCTCATCTCACTTGCCTAAACAACACTCCTGCCACGAATAAAAATTGTTAGACTTCTCTGGCAGTGGCTATGTGCACGTAGCTGTACGATAGAATTTTAGTGAGAGAGCGGACTTTACTCACCTTCGTTCTTAACCAGCCTACTTCTGCACCAGCAAACATATCTTGTTTAGGCCGATGGTATGTATTTGTAGCACAACTCTTAACTACCTCGATCGATAAAGATTTATGATCCCATCAGCCAATTAACCATTTGTGTCTATGAGGAAAAAAATTATCCATGAGACTGTGTTTGATTCACAACTGTTATGCAGTCCATGAATATCTGGTAACATACTTTTTAACTTTTAGGTATTATCTATGCGTTCACTCAGTATGCTACTGTACCATGTACACTTATTTTGCCGTTTGTTAATCTACTATCAGCATAATTCATCATATTGTTGAATCAAGATTCATCCCAAAACAAGAAATTAATAAGATAATATATCTAGGGGTAGTACATACTAATTTCTTCTCTAATATAAAGCTAGATATGTAGTTTGGTTCTAAAACAGGAAAATTAACAAGAGGAGTAACAATAATAGTGAGTGTATGAAAGCTATCGGTCCAAAATAATTTGATTAAAGTTTTCGTACTTCTCAGCAACTTATTCCTTTTGTGGCGTCTATTGGCAATAACTGCTGATTGAAATCGAATTGTTTCCTCATCCCTGTAATAACTAACAAGTTGTATCTTAAGCTTAACAGAAATTTCTTATACTTTAAAATATCAACCCTGGATTTCGGATCGATACTAGTTAAATATGCCACATGTATTCGGAGCTTAACAATGCTTGTACACTTATGGTAATGAACAGAACACGGGTGGGAACAATCGAATGTATTTAACACAGACTTACAGGACTTGTTAGTCAAGTCTAACAATCATAAAGTAAATGCTTAATTTGCAAAATGTCTATCATTTGTTTCATAATGACTCAGACTTCATTGTTCTTACATTTTCATACAAATTGGATTCTGTTTCGATTCTTTACTGTTCGATCCTCTTGTCTCTCTGCTGTCACTCTTTCTATTCACAACTAACATCATATACTACGTATGTCAATATAAGTAGCACACACCCCAGTATAACTTTTATAACCAAAGTTCCAACCCAGTCAAATCAGAAGCCAGAAATAAAGAGGTTCGAAGATATATTTGAAAAGCTATCGATATGTTGAGAAGCGTTTGGTTTAATCTGGCTAGCAGTTGCAAGCGATGCATAGCACGACACACCAGCTCGTGATGTGGCGCGAATACGTGACCGAGAACATTCAGTTAAGTGTGCCCAGTAAAACTAATAGGGTCAGCGTCAACGTCGAAGACATACAGAACTATTTATTTTAGGGTTTTATTTACCGCTACAAACGTACATCAATTTACTACCTGTTATAATATAATATAATAATAACTTCAGTAGTGAACTTTTAATTTCGCTCGTTGATTTTTATTTAGGTTTTACTTACTTGACTGTGTGACCTTTAAGTACATACTGTCAATCTCCTGTCTCTTTACTTTTGAAAAGTTTGGTTATTCTAGGTGATATGTGTTTTCAAGGTCATTTATTTTAGTTAAATGCATAAACATTAGTACAAAGAAGCACCAAGTAGATATGCACCACATAAATCATTCGATTTATGTGAGGGCTGTGATACTGCCCGGGTGACCAAACCGAAGAAAGGTGGTTTTCTTAGGGGGCCACACCCCGAGCCTTCGACCTGAGGGTCTGACCAACAAGGCAGTGAAGCATCGTGAGGAGATGTAGTCTCATGGTAGTCGGTGACCAACGATTGGTTCATACGCCATTTGTTCCCGCAGGGTACTGGAGCCCATGCGCACCATTGGTTTGGAATCCGGTTAAAGCGCCGGACATTAGATTTTCGTTCTTTCAATTTCATAAACAACACCCCCGCCACGAGAAGGCATTGAATAGGACTTCCCTGGCAGAATCTGTGTACGCGTGGCCGTGTGAGAGCATTTCTAGAGGGAGAGCGGACCCACCCCACTCTCGGTCATACCAGGGCATTTGGGGTCTTTTCCAGGTCAAAAACCTCTGGAAGTGGCCGCTGTAAGATAGTTTTGGTATATTTCTGTGTTGATATGTATAGATGCAGGTGAAAATCCT